AGACAGTCCCAGCCATTCTAGGATTATTCCATAGGATTATTCCATAGTGTAGACCAGCACTTGCACTAATTCAACATAGTGATCATATCACCACCTAATGGTCTTTTCTGCATAGCCAACTTCTTAATGTAATTAGTACCTGAATGTGTTGAACTGTGTCTGGAAGAAAATAGGGGTTGGCATGAAGGGACCTGGGAATTTCACCCATTCTCTTCACTTATTCACTAATATTTAAATCTGAAGAAGCATTTCAGGGTTTGGCTGGGAATAGAGCAGTGTGAAGAAAGTTTTGTGGATTCACAGCTTAAGCAAGGACAGACTAAGTCTGGAATCCTATACATACATGCCTGGGAGTAAGTCCCATTGAAATCAGTGGGGATTACCTCTGAGTAGGCATGTAGAGGATTGCATTAGAAAACTGGAAAACCCTTAACAGTTCACTTAACGCTTCAACTAAAACTTCATTCTAGCTGAACAGAAGGCAACTGATCTCTCTGTCAGTTGTGATTATGTACAGATAGTTGCAGGCTAGACTACCCTTGGTTAAGCTGATTATTTGGTAATAAAGATGATTAGTTGATCATGCTTCAGTGGGCTGGTTAGGGGCTGGTGTGAAATAATGTTGCACGATGGTTGGATATTCTCCCTTTACTGTTTTTATAAAAGTGGCATCCTACAGCTCAGGGGAGGGACAAAAAAAGCAGTTTGGAAGCAGTTTGTAGTTTCAACTGGGAAATAGAGAGATGTGAGTTGGCTGTATATAAAATGCTTTAGGATTTAGGGGTTCTCTTTGGAAACCTGGTGCAGGAACAATGACACTGCTGCCTGCTTCAAGGTCTGCTTCCTTCCTCTGTACTTGTATATTTGTTACAAAGAGGTCTTATGTCTCTTATCTAAAGAAAGCACTGTTGTGTTTCTGTGAGAACTTACTACGGTTTGTGGATCTGAGGAGCATAACAAGTAACCATGGTTTTCCAAGCAAAAATTGACCACTGCATAATAATAATAATAATAATAAATTTTATTTATATCCCGCCCTCCCCAGCCAAAGCCAGGCTCAGGGCGGCTAACAACAAATAAATAATCAAACAATTAAATAGTCCAACATTCTAAAACATTTCATTATAAAAATTAATTAAAATCAAATTAATGGCAACCGTTGAGCAAAGTTCTGTGTAGGTTGCCGGAGGTGGGAGTCAGGCTGGGCCCTGACCAAAGGCCTGGTGGAACAACTCTGTCTTGCAGGCCTTGCGGAAAGATGTCAGGTCCCGCAGGGCCCTAGTCTCTTGTGACAGAGCGTTCCACCAGATTGGAGCCGCAGCCGAGAAAGCCCTGGCTCTAGTTGAGGCCAGCCTAACCTCTCTGAGGCCTGGGACCTTCAGGATGTTTTTATTTGCAGACCGTAGGTTCCTCTGTGGGGCATACCAGGAGAGGCGGTCCCGTAGGTACGAGGGTCCTAGGCCGTATAGGGCTTTAAAGGTTAAAACCAGCACCTTAAACCTGATCCTGTACTCCACCGGGAGCCAGTGCAGCTGGTATAGTACCGGATGAATGTGATCTCGCAGCGAAGACCCCATAAGGAGTCTCGCCGCGGCATTCTGCACCCGCTGGAGTTTCTGGGTCAGTCTCAAGGGCAGCCCCACGTAGAGCGAGTTACAATAATCCAGTCTGGAGGTGACCGTCGCGTGGATCACAGTGGCTAGGTCAGGGCGAGAGAGATAAGGGGCCAACTGCTTAGCTTGGCGGAGATGAAAAATGCCGCCTTTGTTATAGCTGTAATCTGCGCCTCCATAGAGAGGGAGGTATCGAAGATTACACCCAAACTCTTAACGGACGGTGCTGGCACTAATTGCACCCTCGCAAGAGATGGGAGTTGCCCCCCCAATCCCATATCGTCCCGTCCCAGCCAGAGGACCTCTGTCTTCGAAGGATTTAACTTCAACCGGCTTCCGCGTAACCATCCAGCCACAGCTTCCAAACATCTGGTCAGTGTGTCTGGGGCCGAGTCAGGATGGCCATCCATCAACAGATAGAGTTGGGTGTCATCGGCATACTGATGGCAACCCAGCCCAAAACTCCGGACAAGCTGGGCGAGGGGGCGCATAAAGATGTTAAAAAGCATCGGGGAGAGTATCGCACCCTGAGGCACTCCACACACCAAGGAGTGGCGGGATGACAATTCCCCCCCAAGCGCCACCCTCTGTCCCCGACCGGAGAGAAACGAGCGCAGCCATTGAAGGACTGTGCCCTGGATCCCCACGTCGGCAAGGCGGTGGTCCAGGAGTTCGTGATCAACCATGTCGAAGGCTGCTGACAGATCTAGAAGAATCAGCAGCCCCGACCCGCCTCGATCCAGCTGCCTACGGAGATCATCTGTTAGGGCGACCAGAGCCGTCTCGGTCCCATGACCAGCGCGGAAGCCAGACTGGAATGGATCTAGAGCCGATGTTTCATCCAGAAACCTACCAAGCTGTTCAGCAACCGCTCTCTCAATCACCTTACCCAGGAATGGAAGATTCGAAACCGGGCGGTAATTGGATAGATCTAAGGGATCTAATGATGTTTTCTTTAAGAGCGGGCGCACCACTGCCTCCTTCAATTCCCCTGGAAATATCCCGGTGCCAAGGGACAAATTGATGATATCCCCAGGGGGCCCGCACCTCGCCTGGACACGCTCTAATCAGCCAAGACGGGCACGGGTCAAGAGGACAGGTGGTGGGCTTTCCAGCTCGGAGGAGTCTGTCCACATCGGCTGGGGATATCCGATCAAAGTGGTCCAATACTGGACCCGAGGACAGTCGAGGGGCCTCCAGTTCCTTTATTGTATCCAAATTGGCAGGGAGGTCATGGCGGAGCAACAGGACCTTCTCCGCAAAAAGCTCGCAAACGCCTCACAGCTATGTGTCAGATTGTTATTTAAATTTGGCTGTCCTTCAAGGGACGTTAAAGACCTAATTATACTAAATAATTGCGCCGGGCGAGAGCTAGCGGATGCAATGGAGGCCGAGAAGTAAGACTTCTTAGCGGCCTTCACCGCCATCTCATAGGTTTTCATAAAAACCCTATAAGATGTTCTTGAGGCTCCGTCACGGGCACCCCGCCATACTCGCTCTAGCCGTCTGAGGTCCCGCTCATTTTCCGAAGCTCCTCGGTAAACCAGGGAGCCCGGTTTCTGCGGAGTCGCAGAGGGCGCTTAGGTGCGATCTCATCTATGGCTGCCAGGAGCTGGGTATTCCAGCCCTCAACAAGCTCAGTCAATGAGTCGCCAGGGGAGCAAGGTCCCGCAAGGCTTGACGGAATCTATCAGGGTCCATCAGCCTCTGCGGGCGAGCCCAAATCGGCTCGCCACCTAAGCAGGGTGGGGGTGGAAAGTCAATCCTGGCTTTCAGAGCGTAGTGATCAGACCATGGCACCTTAATTGAAGGAGACATGATCACATCTATACCTACGCCAAAGATCAAATCCAGCGTGTGGCCTGCTTGATGTGTGGGGCCTGAAACAAACTGGGAGAGCCCTAGTGTTGCCATGGAAGACACCAGGTCCAGAGCCTGTGAGGAGGGAGTGGCATCAGCATGGATGTTGAAGTCCCCCAATACCAATAGGTTAGGGAACTCCAAGGCCCAGCCGGCCACCGCCTCCAGTAGGCCTGACAGGGTGGCTGCTGGTGCGCTAGGTGGCCGGTACACCAGCCAGACAGCCAAGCTCACCTCAGAGCCCCACACTAGGCCAACACATTCAATGCCAGGGATCGATGGCGATGGTAGAGCCCTGAAAGGACAATCTTCCCGGATTAATAATGCCACCCCTCCCCCGGCCCACAGTCCGTGACTGGTGGAGGACGGAGAAACCCGGGGCGCCATCTCTCGTAAGGTAACTGTTGCCCCTTCGCGTACCCAGGTCTCCGTCACACAAGCCAGGTCAACCCCCTGCGAGGTAAAGAAATCTCGCAGAGTGGCGGTTTTGTTGCCTATAGACCTGGCATTGCACAACACCAGTGACGGAGGTGAGTAATCCTTGCTCACCCTACCCTCGTCCCTCGGGATGGGGCGCAGATTGGAAGGGGTACGAGCATATCCGTATCTCGATCCCCTTCGCCTATAACATCTGCCCCCACCACCATACCTCCCACGCCCTCCACGGTAGCAATCCCAAGCCTCGTACAAGCCTCCATTTACAAAATAGAAAACCAAACCAAACTGAAAACAATTCTACCTAAGCAAAACCAATCCCCACCCCAAACCACAATAAAACAGAACAAAATAAAAATACATAGATAAAAACCACTGTTCACGGTGGTACAATAAAGTAAAAAGTAAAAACACCTTTAAAATACTTTAAAATATATAAAAACATTTTTAACAATTGCTGCGGCAGCACCAGCGTCCTTAAAACAGTAGCGGAGGTGAGTCTGGGCCCCGCCCCCTAGGCCAGGTGGAATCAGCCTGAAGAGGGGGCGGCCTTCCCCAACACTCACGGTGCAGCAGCAGCGATGTCCCAGTGCCTCAGTGAGGCTTCTTAAAGCGGTGGCGCGGGTGAGGCGGGGCCCCGCGCCCGAGGCCTGGTGGAATCAGCCTGAAGAGGAGCGGCCTTCCCCAACACTCACGGTGCAGCAGCAGCGATGTCCCAATGCCTCAGTGAGGCTTCTTAAAGCTGTGGCGAAGGTGAGTCTGGGCCCCGCCCCTAGGCCTGGTGGAATCAGCCTGAAGAGGGAGCGGCCTTCCCCAACACTCACGGTGCAGCAGCAGCGATGTCCCAATGCCTCAGTGAGGCTTCTTAAAGCTGTGGCGAAGGTGAGTCTGGGCCCGGCCCCTAGGCCTGGTGGAATCAGCCTGAAGAGGGAGCGGCCTTCCCCAACACTCACGGTGCAGCAGCAGCGATGTCCCAATGCCTCAGTGAGGCTTCTTAAAGCTGTGGCGAAGGTGAGTCTGGGCCCCGCCCCTAAGCCTGGTGGAATCAGCCTGAGGAGGGAGCGGCCTTCCCCAACACTCACGGTGCAGCAGCAGCGATGTCCCAATGCCTCAGTGAGGCTTCTTAAAGCTGTGGCGAAGGTGAGTCTGGGCCCCGCCCCCTAGGCCTGGTGGAATCAGCCTGAGGAGGGAGCGGCCTTCCCCAACACTCACGGTGCAGCAGCAGCGATGTCCCAGTGCCTCAGTGAGGCCTCTTAAAGCTGTGGCGAAGGTGAGTCTGCGCCCCGCCCCCTAGGCCTGGTGGAATCAGCCTGAAGAGGGAGCGGCCTTCCCCAACACTCACGGTGCAGCAGCAGCGATCATGAACTGGAGTCCGAAAGAGCTTCCCAGTATTTAGTCTGAAGCAAGAGACAAGGTCAGGTTGGGGGAGAGGCTGTGCGTCTACTTTAATACAGAAAAGTTTTGTTGCAAAATTTTAGGAACATGGTGGGGGGAGGGGAGCAAAGGCTTTTCTTGTGCTGTCTGGAGTCTTGTCTCCAGCACACTTAGCCAGTTCTGCCCTAGCTATAAATCCATGTTTTGGTCTTCCATACTCAAGATGCTTCAACTGATGGTACAAAGCTCCTCTTTATCCAGGCTAGCAGCTATATGATACTTCAGACATACCTTTCTTACCCACATGACACATTTGCCATTTCAAGCACTGAAAGGCTGTATATTTCTCTTTCCTGTTATTTCAAATTCCAGGCAAAATCCAAACTTTTAGAAGTGCGGCGAGATGTTTACCGAAGATTTGAACCTGAGACGGCAGGCCTTTGTGAGCTCGTGGCAAGAAATCTGGGCCTCGCCTGCTCCCATTCATTCAGACGAGCCCCGTGGAACATAAAAGCTTTTGCACTCAGACGAGGCAGAGGGTGGCAGCCTCTGTACTAGGCAGTGACCTGAGGTGGCTTGTGCAAACTGATGTAAAGGAAATAGTCAACAAAGCAACCTGACTGTATCAGACTGAGATCCCAAGGAAACACAGTAGGAAGCAACTTCTACTGGAACCAGTGAGGTTTACCGCAGAGTAAGCATAACTGGAATCAGACTGTTAATTAGCAGAGGAAGTAGCAGAAGCACTTAAACTCTACTAGGTACAAGGCAAGAAGTGGGGAAGAAAGAAGTGTCACGTCGACAGAACTTTGATCAGGGGAGCAAACTTGGAATCCAAGTTTATAAACCTATTTCTCAAAAGGATTACCTTCTTAAAGGGGTTAATATCTGCCCTAGATATCTTCAGAAGGAAGAGTGGGATATAAATTCAATAAATAATACATAATGTTATTCAGTAGCTTCATAAATGTTCTGTGTGTCTCTTCAAGCCACTGGACATCATAGGTTTTACCTCTGAGTAAACATGCACAGAACTGGACTACATATGTCCTTGTGGAGTATTTGTAGGAAGGGGATAATGTGATTGCATACCTAGAGCACTTCGAGGTTGTATCTGTATAAATTGTGTTCAGAAAGATATGTCAATTACCATGAGAGAAACAAAAAATGTTGAGGTTGGAACTGAGCCTGATACATCAAGCAAAGCTGAAGTTGAAGTCTTCCACCTGCATATATGGCATGCCATAAATTAAGTTACAAAGCTTTTGTGAAGCATATTTGTTCTGTTCTACTCCAAACGTCCATGTGATAATTTACCTAAACTTTATATGTACTTTTTTAAAGCAGGGAGTAGGGCTATACTGCTAGTCCACCCCTAGTATCAGGTGTGCCTCTGACCTCTTCCCCTGGACTTCCACGTGTTGGTGTGAACATCAACACTATTGAAACTTTCATGTGTTCATTCACAGACTTTAAATGCTTTAAAATAAAACAATGCGCAGGGGGCAGGCTAGATACAGAGCCTCACTCTGTGCTAATTATACAGAGCACTAGTTTACACAATTGACACATCAAGGGAGTGACAGTTAAAATGACACGAGAATTCGTTCTCTCTATAATAGGTACTTTGTAGCATAGGCCATGGCCATTTTAGGCCCAATTGAGTTGCGGCCGCTCACGCATGGGTCCTTTTGGACCTGGAAGAGGGAGGAATGGGGGCAGGATGCGGCATAATGGGCTTATGTGTGCTCTGCCAACCCGCATGGGGGCCAAGAATGGAACCCCCTGCAAAATGGAACCCTCTGCAAAATGGTCACAGCCTGTACTGGCCTTAAGTGCCCTAAAACCTAAGTTACTACATACAGTAGCAGTCAAGGGTCAGTGGTGATTACCTTACCTCCCAATAGCAATGTCCCTGCACTTAGGGACAAGGGAGGGTTAGAATCATAGAATCATAGAATCATAGAGTTGGAAGAGACCACAAGGGCCATCGAGTCCAACCCCCTGCCAAGCAGGAAACACCATCAGAGCACTCCTGACATATGGTTGTCAAGCCTCTGCTTAAAGACCTCCAAAGAAGGAGACTCCACCACACTCCTTGGCAGCAAATTCCACTGTCGAACAGCTCTTACTGTCAGGAAGTTCTTCCTAATGTTTAGGTGGAATCTTCTTTCTTGTAGTTTGGATCCGTTGCTCCGTGTCCGCTTCTCTGGAGCAGCAGAAAACAACCTTTCTCCCTCCTCTATGTGACATCCTTTTATATATTTGAACATGGCTATCATATCACCCCTTAACCTCCTCTTCTCCAGGCTAAACATGCCCAGCTCTCTTAGCCGTTCCTCATAAGGCATCGTTTCCAGGCCTTTGACCATTTTGGTTGCCCTCCTCTGGACACGTTCCAGTTTGTCAATGTCCTTCTTGAACTGTGGTGCCCAGAACTGGACACAGTACTCCAGGTGAGGTCTGACCAGAGCAGAATACAGTGGCACTATTACTTCCCTTGATCTAGATGCTATACTCCTATTGATGCAGCCCAGAATTGCATTGGCTTTTTAGCAGCCACGTCACACTGTTGGCTCATGTCAAGTTTGTGGTCAACCAAGACTCCTAGATCCTTTTCACATGTACTGCTCTCAAGCCAGGTGTCCCCATCTTGTATTTGTGCCTCTCATTTTTTTGCCCAAGTGCAATACTTTACATTTCTCCCTGTTAAAATTCATCTTGTTTGTTTTGGCCCAGTTCTCTAATCTGTCAAGGTCGTTTTGAAGTGTGATCCTGTCCTCTGGGGTGTTAGCCACCCTCCCAATTTGGTGTCATCTGCAAATTTGATCAGGATGCCCTTGAGTCCATCATCCAAGTCGTTGATAAAGATGTTGAATAAGACCGGGCCCAAGACAGAACCTTGTGGCACCCCACTAGTCACTCTTCTCCAGGATGAAAAGGAACCATTGATGAGCACCCTTTGGGTTCGGTCAGTCAGCCAGTTACAAATCCACTGAGTGGTAGCATAGTCAAGACCACATTTTACCAGCTTCTTTACAAGAATATCATGAGGCACCTTGTCAAATGCCTTGCTGAAATCAAGGTAGGCTACATCCACTGCGTTCCCTTCATCTACCAGGCTTGTAATTCTGTCAAAAAACGAGATCAGGTTAGTCTGACATGACTTATTTTTCAGAAATCCATGCTGACTTTTGGTGATCACAGCATTCCTTTCTAGGTGCTCACAGACTGTTTGCTTAATGATCTGCTCCAGTTGGGTGGTGTGAACACACTGGGAGAAGCGTCACATTGGTTCTGCCAATATGTTTGCACCGCAACGATCTCCCCACCAGCTCATGATGGTAAGTGCCCCCACCCTCCCTTGCCAACCACTTCCTACCTGATAGAGTTAAGAATTAGCTGTGCAAAGAATGATCTAACTCCATTTCCAATTTCATATATTTTTATTCCGTTATTTCACCCACCTAGAAAGCTGCTAGGAAGCAGCCTCCCAAAAAGTTGAAAATATGTTATTGATGTACGCCAGGAACAAACTGCATGCTTGTTGCTTAAGCTGACCATGGAAAAGCATAGAAGCAACTTTGTCGAGTGACGTTCATGGCCTCATCATTTCCACTTTCTAATGTTATCTCCTTGCTTTCAGCTCTCTCTCAGCAAACTCAGGCTTTTCTTGAACCCCAGGGGTTTTTGTGTGTTTTCCCAAGCCATCTGCAGCTGTTTGCTTTGCAAACATCTTTTGCTTTCACCAGCTCCTTATGCATGGCAATCTGTAGGCTAATCCGTGAGAGGGCAGTTGGTGGATTAGCTAGTCTCCCAGTATATGCATGGGAGCATGCATTTAGCATGCCACAAGGCTCCCATTGTGCCAGGCAATGTGCAAATGCAGGAAGAGAAAGTCCCTGCCTACATCAAAGATCTTACACTGTTCATTAAACAGCTATAAGCCTTCGTTCTTTCTGTAATATTTGGAAACACTTGACAGCCAGTACTGCAGCTGCTAATGTCAACAGACGTGAACTTAATGAATAACTTCACTGAGTGCAGTCAGCACTTCTAAATGGGCAATGTGATTTCTGCAGTCTTAAGCATGAACAAAAAGGAAGTTATAAAACCCTTATCTCCCTATTTGTTATTTATTTCTAGTTTTTTATGCACAAAAGAAAAGACAAAATACACTATGGGAAAACACATACAAAATGTGTATATTAGTGAATATATACCAAAAATGTATGATGTTAGGGGAAATTACTTGCAAAGAAATGTATCTGTAAGCCAGAGTTGCAAGCAAAAATGTGTACATTAGAAGAAATGTACCCCAAAATGCTGGCAGCTTTTTGTGAATTTTTTTAAAAAATTGCAAGCTGATGCAATGCAGCAAACTGACCTTCATATTGGAAAAATGACGGAGGCTTGTATCCATCTAAGATGTATTCAGAGTTGACCCACTGAAATCAATAGACTTTAGTCATGTCCATTAATTTCAAAGGATCTACTGACATAGCTGGATACAACTCTGATAGAAACCACAGTTGACAAAGGTTTGACAACGACCAGGGAGTGGAGTTGAGCTGTTGGCCCAACCCCAGCGTACAGCAAATGTAGGCTCTTTTCATATTTAGTTAAGGGTATGAAAAGACCTTCCAAACCTGCAAATTGAACATGTGTAGGCTGTCTGCCTTGATTGAACAGTCTGCAGAAGACAATGTCTTTGACTGCACATGCAGAGCCTGATGTGTATACAAGTAGCATGCATGTAGGCTGTTGAATATGCAGAGGTTTGGGAGTGGGAATAGCAGCCGTGATCTCATTCCTGCTCCAGACAGTCAGTGAATGCAGGGCTAACATAGCATCAGGGTTTGCAACAGAAGTTGGCATTCTCAGGCATCTCCCAAGGCCCACACTTCCACAGTGGGAGCACTGTTAACACCCAGAGTCCTCTGGCCTTGCTACTCCTGCTTTTTGCTGTCACTACGTGGTTCCCTCTCCTCTATGAGTGAGAGAGCAATGACAGGAGCAAGCAGAAGGAGCAATGATCTCTACTTGCCTTGACTTTCCCTCCAGACAGGGCCTCTGATTTGGCCCGGGAAGAGAAGACAAGCAATTGGGCAGTAGCCGTAGCTTGGAGGAGGAGGAGATGGAGCTACTCAAGCACCTTTGTTCAAGGGTGCCTGAAAACTTGGAGTCAACCCTGTGTCACATCCTAGTTTGTAAAATTGGAGATGTGTTTGTGAACCTTTCATAAATTTGTAGTTTTCTTATAATCTAATCTCGCTAGACTCTGAAGTTGGGAAGTCAAAAGTATTTGAGATACACCACTGTTCAACCTGCACTTCCATGGAAAATATATTGACAACAAAATAAATGCAAAATAAAGTAAACACAGGCCTTCAGATATGAAAAGCAGGAAGCGGAGACTGCATTAATTTCATGAGATTATTTTCATCTTTTTTATTGGGGTAGAGTAAGTCAGACCTAAATAAATAACATTGTTTGTAATCCTATTGATAAATATATAATCTAATTGGTCCTGAAGACAGACGTCATGAAGGGACAAGATGTAATAATGAATGCCTTGCCTTAATCCTAAACACATCATGGGGAAGTAAGTTCTAATAAAACAGTGTAAGTTATTTTCAGGCTATATATTTTGCCTCAGGGTGTAACTGTTGATTTAGCACTACTGATTTTTTGTTTTTTAAAAAGGCATTTCCCTGTATGCAATCCTTTTTACAGCTTTTAATAAGAATGGCATCTGGAAGCTTCATCTTTCAAAAATAATCATAGTAATGAGTTCCCCAATGAGGCATACTAAGGCA